TATAGAACTCATCGTTAAATCTTCTTCGTACGATGAAAGAGGACCTTACTTCTCAATTACCTGCTCCATCCAAAGTAAAACTTGTTGGCAACAGTGATTCTCCGTTGGATTTTAAGGCTGACATTATTGCTGGTTCCGAAATAAACGAAGTCGTCTACTTTTTCAAACTTGTAACTGTTATCCTCTTATCTGAAACCTCATTTCGCGGAGCTAATGGTATTAAGGCAACTCCTTTTAGTGCTATCGAAAGCGGCTTTAAAATCGACAAATAGATGGCATTTTCCAAGATGGATTTGCCTGGGCTAAAGCCGCACTGATAAGGCCCAATCAGTACATTGACGGTGAGCTTCAGTCCTTCATACTATACACTCAATAAGACCTTGTAACCTATGCTTAGAAGGCTGATCCCGGGTTCGTCTTCTCCACTAATTTTAGTACAGCTTCCATTCAGTAGGGTGGAAAAGCTTTCCTTCCATAATTTAAGTTCGTTCTGGGCAGCGGTCTTTAGGTCGCCATGGTTGTTCTTACAGGAGTTCGCCCTGGTCTTGAAACCCTCAGTAAGTCGGCGAACTCTCCGACATAAAATTTTCGGGCGCTTTTTCTGTCGGCCAGCATTTCAAGCTATTCGCACACACTTATCTTATTTCGTCATCTCCCTTCTTAATGCAACAGATACGTCTCGCTTCCCTCTTCAGCTTACTATAACGGTCCCACACGGACTCGCATTGTGCCCGATCGCAGCGTACCCTTGTAGGCGGCATCTTTTTTTTCTGCAGCTTCTTGACACTCCTCATCGTACCAGTTGTTCTTTCGGGTTCGCTTAAATCCGACTACTTCTTCGGCGGCGGTACTTAATGAGCGGTAAATGTGGTCTCCCTGCTCGCTATGTCGGTTTTTTGAATAATGCTCTCAGAGAGCAGGTGTGAGAGTTGAGTGGCGAATAAATTGGTTGCGATTGCAATTTTTTGACGTTGGGCGCACATCTTTTGCTTCACGGAGGCGGATTCCTAACTTGGCTGCAACAAGAAGGTGGTCCGCGTCGATGTTTGGCCCTCATAGTGCAAGAACGTCCAAAACACTGGGAGCGTGTGTTACGTTTATCACAACATGATCGATTTGGTTTCTTGTTTTTCGATCTGGAGGCAGCCAAGTAGCTGGAGGGATCCTTTTATGCTTAAACCTAGTACTGTAAATTACCATGTCTCGGTTCCGGAAAAAGTTTATCAGGCCCAGTCCGTTATCGGACGTATCATGGTTGAGGCTGAATTTCTCGACAGTGGCACCAAAGATCCCTTTATGGCCCAAATTGGCATTGAAATCGCCAAGCAGGATTTCTATATCGTGTAGGGTAGCGCTCATATGTTAGTTACAAGCGTTCATACAAGAGATCCTTGGACGCCTCGTCCTTTTCTTCCATCGGGGCATGGATGCAGATGAGCGAGCTGTTAAAGAATCTCGCCTTTATGCGGATTGTGGCTAGGCGTTAGTCCACCGGAGTGAACTCCAGTACTCGGCGTCTGAGTCTCTCTTCCACCACAAATCCAACATCGAATTTGCGCTCATTTACCTGACAACTGTTATAGACGTCGCAAGTCTCCATGTTCACCTGGGCTTTCCCCGTCCATTGCATTTCCCAGATGGCGCTGATGTCAGCCTTAGTCTTCCCGATGACATTAACCAGACGGGGAGAGTCACCTTCCCCATTAAGTGTCCGAATATTCCAGGTGCATACCCTCAGATTATAGACCTTTATGCGTTTGCCATATTCGTCATCAAAAAAGGGGGTCTCATCAAAAAGGGGGTCTCATCCGAGGCACTTTGTAATTTTTCATTGGGCGCTGTGTTAACGTGCCGGGTCCCGAACTCAGCGCCGCGAATTTACGCCTTCGCACTTTAGCTCACTTCCAAACGGGTGTTTGGTCGCTATCCAGAGGAATCGTGGATATAAATATTCGGACGTTGTGAGCTGCGATTTGAGGCGTACGCACAAGGATCACTACTGGCCACTCTCTGCTGAATGGCGTTCAAAGGCTTTTCCCACTTAAGTGGACATCTGCGCACGGAACCATCCTCCGGTATGTTACTAATATCTGAAATTAATTTAAATCCACATCTTACTATTCCAAAATTAAATGCAAAGAATTAGAGACTTTAATTCGTCGATTAGTAAGTTAATGGAATAGAAAATTACCCTAGCTCACACATCCACAGAATCTGTAATTAACAGAATATCTACAAATGTGTAAGCAAGCACTACGGCATCTACTGCAACGCTTTCGATGCCCCTAATCACCACTAACCCATGGCGAGGTTCGATTACTGCAACATTATGTTGCACGCAAATTACAACATACAAATACATACATATATATAATGTACATGCATAGACACTTCCATTTGTGTATCTGTTTCTAGAGGCAAGCTTCAATATAAAACCACCTGCATACACGTACCCAGCAAAAAACACGATTACCACAAAAATTAAAATGGAATGGAACTAGGCGATGGAAATCGCTTACCTTTTCGCTTCAAAAAGGCATTACCTTATCGGCAACATTACCTTCGAACGAAGGGAGAACACCTTACATTAGAAAGAAGCTAATGAAAGATGCATGGATATACCGAATCCAGAGAAGCCTTTGTTTGCTTCTTTACAGAGAAACTATTTAATGTAGAATGCCTAGATATTTACATAACCCCCAGAAAAAATTCAGCTAATTATATATCTCTCAACACAAAATTTGGTTATAGTTTCATTATTTGGTTAAAGTTACCAGCTCTTGTGTTGGGAGAAATATATTTTTGCTGAGTCTTTTCTGAGTGTATTAAATTGAAAACAGAAAATAGGGATTGTCTTAAAAGAATTAACTCTCTGACATTGAATTTTTTTTCAATTTCATTTGCAATTCAAATTTTAATAAATCAGTTTTTATACATGTATGCGTTCTAGAACACTTTGCCACTAAAAGCGATTACCGATTTTTTGCTGGGTACCACCACGCATTAATCTGGCACTTAAATGCATGCATACATATATACATTAGGCATATGACTTTTTCTTAAACAAAAAATAAATAATTTATGAGAAGAGGACGAAGAATGATAAAAACCCAACAACAAACATAAATCTCGAGTTGGAATTTTCTATATAGAGTGACTGAAACAAATGACCACATGTTGAACTATTTGTAATTTTTTTGTTATTTTCTTTAAAAATACCGTCCAAGCTTTAACCAAAAACATATACATAAATCACAGTTTCAAACTTTATTATACAAAATTTACGAGTATTAAAAAAATTTTCATCAAAATTCCAACATTTAATCTGACTATTTTTGGGTATGCAGTTTTATAGCTCTTTCAATTTTAGTGCAATGACGTTAAAGTTTCAAACGGCTAAAAAATCTTGTTGATTCATAAGATTCTTTTTACGGAATTTTGCACTTTTTCCATTTAAGCATGAATTTCTTATGAAATAAAATGCGGGAGACGGTTAACAAAAAAATTTCCAAAAATCAACGCCTGTTTTTGTAAGACGCAGTCTGTAAAAAAAAATCCTCAAAAACCGTCGCGATTTTTTAGCCGGTTAAAACTTACACTTCATTATAATAAAATTGTATGGGCTATAAAACGGCATACCCAAAAATGTTCTAGCGATTCAGAATGAAATTTTGATGAAAATTTGGTGACATTTCCAAAATTTTATACACAGTTTGAAAATGTGATTTATATGTTTTTTGGTTAAAGCTTGGACGGTATTTTTATAGGAAAATAACCACAACAAAAATTTAGCTCAAAAAACATTACAAAAAAAAACAACACGTAGTCGTTTGTTTGAGTCACTGTATGTATCTGTGATTACAAGGCATAACAGCTTAAGTCGGGAGGTTGGCTTTAGTTAATGTACCATTCGTCGAGTACTATTTCGTGCGACGCAGTAGACATTGAAAAACGTTATTTTTGTTGGGCTCCTAGCATTCCTCGTCCTCTCCTCATAGGTACATATATTTAATTTTAGAAACAAGTCATATGCCTAATGTACACATATGTATACACACCATGCGAGCCGCTGACCACAAAGCAAATCGCTGGCAACCACATTGCTTTGCTTGCTACCAGTTGTGGTACGTACCGGTTGTGGGTTGGTCGAATCGCCATACGGGAGCAACATGTTGGGGGAACGATTTATTTCCAAGTCAGGTAATATTCGTTGCAAATGCATCCATCCATTCGCAGGCTAATGCATAAATATATGTGCATAAGTAGTACATATCGACGGCTGAGTGGAAGATCGATCGCCCATCTCAGCAAACGGTTGAAAAACAACCTATTTCAGAATTTTGTTGAAGAATGCGCTATCTCCGAATTTGGTTCAAAAATGCTCTTTCTCAATATAAATTTAATACGTCGGCTGCTGTGATAGGATGTTTTTTGAACCGTTTGCTGAGATAGAAAGTTTTCTAACCGGCTGCCCAAATAGCGCGATGTTCACCTCAGCCATGGAGCTCAAGAAACTCAACAATGATTCGATAGACACCTTCGTTAAATGTACTAAAAGTGGACAGCATTGACTGTGCTTATGTACGTGGAGGGATTTATAGTACAAAGTATATATACACTCAAAGTACAGTCCCGTTTTCTTAAGGGACAGCACCTGGTTTTTTCTAAAAAATCTATTTTTTGCTTACTTTTAAAACGTGATCTTTGAAAGTGCTTGATTAGCTTCTTTCCTTGCCAGCTTGTTCGTAATGTTGTTTCCCGAAATATGTCTATGTGCTCGGAAACCCAGACTACATTCTTAGTGCATCGCGTTGGTAAATCGTTTAGAACTATTCTGCGTTGATTAAATCGCAGCNTGTACGTTCATAAAAATATAGTAAAAATTAAAAAAAAGAAGAAAAATTAAAAAAAAAACAAAAATTAAAATTGTCAAAACCTTCTCAAATATCGCATTTCTATTTACGTTTCTGCCACTGTATATTAAAGCGCCCATCTCCAGCTTACTTCGCTTTCATAATCACTGCGAAAAGCGAATATGCACCCTTTAGAGTCGAGAAAAAGGTATCAAGATGTATTCTTATCATGCCACCAGCCATAGCGGTGGTTTCCTTCAACGCACGCTCGGTAAATAGAATCATTTCTTTCTTAAAGCGCCGTGTTTGATCGGGCCAATTACATCGAAATACTTCGTACTGCAGCTGACCGAAAAGCTGCTGCAGGCTGCTGCCATAATAGCAAATGGGAAAGATTTGAAGTGGCATAGCCAGGAAGTATGTCAGATAGTAGAGCCGCTCGAGCGGCGTATCTATGTAGAACAGCAATACAATCATGGCTACACAAATGTTGAAAGCTGTTACGGTGAACTGAATCAGCATCGGCAAAGAGATCACTTCTTGCAGTAAATCGAATAGCCTGAAATTGGTGAGAAAATCAGCGAGCTCACAGATATGAGAATATTTTCCATTTGCTTACCTATAAAGATTTTTCTGGTCCTTAATGCACTG